TTGCTCAGGATCTCTGTCTCACCGGCGCAGCCGGATGTCAAGATCTCGTGGAACTCCTCTTCAGCCTCTGTCTCGTTGCTGGTTGTGGAGTCCTCGTCCTGGTAGTCGGGATCATGCGAGGTCTCAGATTCGCCCTCGCTGATGGAGCCCTCATCTGAGCTCATGGGATCCAGTTGTGGCTTGAAGACCTTTGGGGCGTTGATGGCATCCAATGTCTCGATTGCTTCATCCTCCATAGTCTCCTGCCACATAGCCAGCTGCTGCTGGGTTTCAGGTCCATGCACAACGGCCTTCAGGACCTCCTGTGGCACCTCACTTCCAGAGTCAGAGATGCTGTCCAGGGCATCTTGAACCAATGCGAAGGAGTGTGGATCGCTCAACAGGCGCTGCCTGAGTTCTTCCAAAGGCTTGATGCGCCGCTGTTTGGGATTCGGGTGTGATCCCATATTGAGCAAACCCAAGATCGGGTGCCTGGAAGGAGACATCACTGTAGGCCTCCAAGTGCCATGAATGCCAACCTGCAGGGTTGCGAAGTCGATCTGCACCTTCCAACGTGCCAGTTCTGCCGGACCCACCAGTCCGGGGCATTCTGATACCCTGTTGTCCGCGCTGGTGTTCTCAACCAGGGCAATGCGTACCCAACTCTTGCGGTCATAGATCTGGACGGGGTAGATGTACGCCTTGGTTGACAAGACAGGGTCACCAGCTCCAAAACGGAAGATCTCCTCATGGTCCGCCATGAAGTATTCCATGCCACACTGCTCCAATGCACGCTGGAAATCAACATGCCAGAGCTTGCCGGCTACTGCTGTTCGGCAACCTGTGTCGAGGATCACGTGACCTGGAGGCATGTTCATTTGCATCATGGCCTCGCGGTACTCCTCTTGTGTTGGGGCTGCCGCCTTGCAGCTCGGGGCGGCCGTGGCTGCCATTGCACCATGGACTGTGCTGTAGTACAGGACTTTGCGCAGCTTGCAGTCCTTGCATGTGGCCCAATGTGCATGGGCATTTGCTCCCCAGACCAGGCGATCGAACTTGTGGCGGCACGCCTCCTGGTCAGCCGTTGGGATGTCCGAAGCCTCTGATGGCTTCAAGCGTCCTCGCTTGTCGAGCGCAGCTTCATACAAGGACTTGCGGAACTCCTCCAATCTCTTCTTCTTGACTGGAGTTGGCAGGTTCTCCTGCTTCTCTGGTGGCTCTTGAACCTGATCCTTGCCACGTCGATCAGGCGTGGAGTAGCCATAGCCGCCCTTGCGCTGCTCAGGGCGCTTCAACATGGACCGCTCCGAGGTTGCCGAGCGGCCAAAGATCTCGAGGATCTCGCGTTCCTGGTCCTTCTTCAGCTGCTTATAGAGGATCTTCTTCTCCTCTTTGGACATCTTGGGGAGCAGCTTCAGTGCTCAGGCCAACATCCTCCTCCAAGCGTTCTGGCTTCTTATGCTTGGGTTTGGCCTTTGGACGAGCCTCTGTGCTTGATGTCGCACCGGTAGCCCTGGCTGTGGCACGATCTGCAAGGCGCTTCTCCTTCTTACGGAGCCGCTGGATGGTTTCTTCATCTTTCTCATCCTCCAGCAGTGAGCGCAGCACCGTGAGAAGCTTCACTTTAATCTTCTCCTTTGCTTGCTTGGATTGGGAGGCTTGCGAACTCTCCGACAGCTTGAGGTGGTAGGCCAGGTCCTCTTCTTCACTTTCTGAGGCTGCACTTGAGCTGCTATCCACCTCCTCATCATCGGACTGGTACCGTCGGATTCGCTCCCATCCATGCATCATGGTCCAATTGACCTGCCTTGTACTGGTGCCCTCTGTAGGTGCGGGAGCCTCCGCTGCAGCAGTTGCGGTTGTTGTATCTGCTGCTGCTTCCCTTGTTGCCTCGGTGGCATTGGAAGCTTCTTCTGAGGGAGCTGGAGCCTCTGGTGGAGCTGGTCTTGTCACATCGACCGGCTCAGCCATTTCCGGCTTGCTCCTCCTCCGGCGCCGCCGGTGCTCACCTTCAGGGCGTGCCTCACCTGGCTCACCTTCTGAACGGCGACGCCGTCGCCTCTCTCGAGACTTCTCTGGGTCTCGGATCGGCAGCGGTGCCGGTTCTGCTGCCTCTCTCTCTGCCGCTGGCGGTGGTTTGGTCTGTTGCTCTGCCGCGGGCTGAGGTTTGGCCTTTCGTGGTTTGGGCCAGATCTGCTTAGCAGGACGGGGCTTCATCAACGGAGATGGAGGCGGTGACGTTCTTGTACTGTCAATGGCATCTTGGATGCTATCAAAGACCAGATATTCTTCTTCACCTGGTCGTCGAGCTTTGATCTTGGCCGACAGGCCTTTTGTACCCGGCTCAGGGATCTTCGGCGCCTCATCATCGTAGTCATCATAGTAACCCCTGTCGCTGCGGCGCTTGGTACCCGTTCGCTCCCTTTCCGGAGGTGGGTACGATGGCTCTGCCGGTCGCCGCCGGTCTGGCAGGGGCTGCGGCCTCCTGCGAAGTGGCTCACGCTCAGGCGGTGGTTCAGACTTCACTGGCCTGGCGGGTCCTGCTGAGGGATGGCGCTGCCCCTTGTGAGTGCCCGTATTGAAATGGGCCTCATTGTCGCGCTTCTGGTGAACTGCATCTTTACCTGAGCGGACATTTGGGCATACCTCATCACCCTTCCAATGGCCTCGTTGGCCGCAGCTGGCACAGGTGGAGTTCTTCTTCCTGGCATCGGGGGTCCTGGTGTCTGGTGGTCGCTTGCTCTTGCCCTTCCCTTTACCTTTTGGCTTGCCATCTCCCTTGTAGCCACGGCCTTTGTGTTGTTGAGCCGTCTTTGACTTGGCTCACCAGCCGGCGGAGAAAGCTTCTTGGAGGGCACCTCGATCCACCGTGTCCAGGTCCTCGTCATCATCATCGTAGTAGCCCTCATCATCTTCATATGCCTCTTCTTCCGGCATGTCTTCTTCTGCCATGAGGGCTTCATGCTCCAGATCCTCATTGTCTAGGTCTCCGAAGGAGTCCTCCTCATCATCGTACTCCCAGTCGTCCTCTGCATCCGCCCAGTGTGTATGGCGGGTTGGCTTGTAAGGACCCCTGCGGTCTGTTCGCTTGACCGACTTCCGAGGCTCTCGATGAGCTGTAGGCTTGCGCTCATCCAAGTGAAGTTGACTGCACCTGAAGCGAAGCACCCGTTCGATGTCAGCAGACTTGTAAGCACCTCCGGCTGCAAAGAACACATCATATCGTTCTCTGCGAGTGAGCGCGGCTCGAGACAGCATCCTCTGGGCGAACGCCCTGTCTGAGATCACTGAGCCAGGGTCTTCTTTGAGGTATTCTGTTCTCAACCTCTTCAAAGTGGCCAGATAGGCCGCCACACTCTGGCCTGGGAGGCGTCTGTATGACATGAACTCCGATTGCTTCTCTTCGAAGCGTTCATCAGCCTTTGCACCATAGGCGTCCTCAAGAAGGCGAAGTACTCGATTGAGGCCTCCTGCTGACCTCATGTCTTCAATCTCAAGTTGATTCAGCACTTCACGAGCTTCGCCCTCGCAACTGAGGAACATCAAAACGGCCAATTCTTCATCATCTTGAAGTTGATATAGCTGCCGTTGTGCCTGAATCGTCTTGATCCAGTTCCTGTAATGGGCCCTGTCGCCCTTGAAGACCTCGAGCTTGACCTGCCCAAGGTTGGTGCGGTTGCGCTCACCTGAACTGCCTGGCCTGCCCTTCAGCAGTTCCTTGATGGATTCAGTACGCACGGTACTAATCTCCGACGGCGCTGCCGAACCACCATGGGATGGTGGACCTGAGGGCGGCGCAGAAGGCGGATCTTGGTCCTTCTCGACCTTGGGCTTCTTCTTCACAACCTTGGCCGCCCGATGAAAGGCCTTCGGCGGTTGTGGATCCTTCGGAGGATCTGCTGGGCGAGACTTCCCAGCTTTTGCCTTTGCCGGCGCTGCCGGTTTTGGCTTTGCAGCTGGTTTTGCTGCTTGCTTCGCCTTGGCAGCGGCCTTCGGCGTCTGTGCAGCTCTTGGAGTTCCTCTTGGGGTCGCAGCCACACTTGGATCATCTGTGAACTCCCCATCCTCTTCTTCACTCTCCTCATACTCCACTTCCTCATAGGATGAACTGCTTCCACCTTCACTACCATCATCGTCGTCATCATCATCTTCATCCTCCTCTGGTGGAGGAGGAGGTGCTTTCTTCTTCTCTTTTGCCGGAGGCTTCTTCTTATTCGGAGACCTCTTCTGTGACTCCGGCTTGGATGGCTTCTTGGGATGTGCAGGTTCTCGTGGTGGCTTTGACCCTGAGGGATGCCTCGTAGTCTCAGGGTTGACATACTGCCAAGAAGCTCCAATGCTCGACGTTGCCGTGGGGATGGTTCCAGCTGGTGGTGCAGTGAAGCGATGTGAACCTCCATGGCCATACCACCAATGTTGCCCATCGCTGTACCACCAGTCAGTGCCCATAGACATCCTGTTCCCATCGCAGCTGTGACATGGCCGGGTAAGGTTGGCATCGTATGCTGGAGGAACAGGCATCTGCGGAGGTGGCATCGAAGGTGTCCAACCCTTACCTTTGCCACCCATGCGTCTTGCGGGCGCCGCCGGAGCTGACTGTGCTGATCCAGGTGTGCCTTGTGGCGTTCCATGAACTGCACCATCGGATGCCGCTGACATCCTCCTGGGGGTCGCCGCGGGCGACCCCTCTCCAGGCGCAGCCTGGGTCTGGGAAGAAGCATCTTCCCACTCATGGGCCCCCGAGCCTGCATGCTCGGCCATCAGCCCCCGATCGAAGATCAGGAGCTCCGCTACCAATGCGGAGTGCACAGGGTAGCGTCAGCAAGAAAGAAAACGCGGGGCAAACGCGCAACGAAACACGCGGTGTTTCCAACGCAAGTCGCTTGAGTCAAGCTGCGGTGCGGGTTCATGCATGAAAGCAATCATGTCAAGCTACCTATCTGTACCTAGCTATGATCTTCACACTAGTAACCAGAAGCTAACGCTTCGCTCGCCGCTCAGCTGATCTCAAGGATCCCGGCAAGAGCCGGAATTCTTCTCCATGTGAGCCACCATCTGGCATCCAGCAGCCCACGTTCACAGCCCAGCGGAATCCTCGAATCGCCCCAAGACCCTTGCGCTGGGATCCTTGCTGGGATCCTTGTTGGACCGTTCTTGTGTCCTTCTGTCCGTCCCATGGTTTGTTTTCAACAGTTGCTTTGCTTGGCCCACTGTCTTTTCCGTCATCGTCTCTTTCTTTCATGGCTACCAGCTTTTTTCAGGCCATCGCTTCACCTTTGGGTCTTTCTTTTCAATCTCTCTGTCTTATCTTTCCCATCCAAAGCTGTGAGGGCGAGGGGCGTGCGCATGACTCCGTCGACTGGCTTCCCCATGAGCTCGCGGGTGCCTTGGTACGATGTTCTCGCGCACGGGTCGGTCAGGAACATGGCCCGGCAGCTTGCCACACGCCAAAGGAAAACGAACATGTCTCAACATCAAAAATCATGGGAGAAATTCAGAAAGAAAGAAACAAAGACAGACAGACTAAAATTACTAAAAGAAAGAGAGAAAGAATACGTGAATCATGGTATGCACGTACCAAACAGGATGCCGCTTCCGCACCTGCCATCGGCTTTGTGCTAAGCCTGAGGTCGGCACCTCTAAGGTGTACTGGGCCAATTCCGACAAGAGCTCTTCAGCCAAGGGCACGGACAGCCCGACGGACACACCTTGCCCCATGGCAAATCAAGGCCGACGATGGTTGAATCCAATGGGCGTGGAGAAAGTGTCGATATTTTCCTTAGTAAGTGTTTGAACTTATCTGGTGCTCGGCCACATTGCAGCACGTAGCTCTGCTCAGAAAGGCAAGCTTGAACAACAAACAGCACCCCTGCAATTGCACAGCTTGGACATGGCATGGAATGCAAAATGACGATGGCTAGCAGAGACATCTGCAGGGAATCGCGAAGGATGTTTGGCATTGCCGGCGCCAACTATACAAAAATGTCCCCATATCTGAGGAGTGTCCTTTACAAGGACCTCATATCTGAGGTCTCAAGAGACTTGACTCAACTTGCTTGATCTGCAAATGTATCAAGTTGCATGCAGGAGGCTAGTTGACACACCATGTCGATGGGACTCGTAGCCTCCAAATTGTACTCCTGGAGCTCTGTGCCCCACCAAGTGGCGAGCAAGAGCGCTTTGAAAACGAGTTGGCAGTCGCACTGATTGAAAGTGATAGTTGTAAGAAAGTGGCAAGTCTGTCTTAGGTGGCTGTATATCTGGATTCATCTCAACCATATCGTTTTCAACCTCCTGCTCTAGCGTGCCTGTACCGGTTCTGTAGCAGCTTTTCAGCCGACCGAACGAAGTGATAAAAAGCACATGTGGATCTCTTGGTAGGCTAATCATGACGTTTAATTCTAATAGCTCTTTTGTTACTACTAGTAAGGCACCTGTTACTACTAGCTTCCTTCCCCTGGGTCTCAGACTGGGTCTGAACTTGCTCTTTCAAAAACTACCGCCGAATCGCCTGGAATCCGGTCACTAAGGCAGGCCGGAATCCCTGAGGCTGTGTTGACATTGGTATTACTACCCAAGCAACTGAGAAAACAACAAAACATAAGAAAACAAGGGAATACAAAGCGAAACCTTCAACATCCGGTTCTTTGATTCATTGAAGCTGTCATTCTTCCTCGGTGTCTTCCCCCTTGCAGAAGCACTAACAAGACTACATCGCTTGGATTGGAGTTTTGATCTACGGGGCTCAAATGGTGAACCGACAAATGAGCACTAGGGATGAGAAAGGCAAATTGTGCGCCACGGCATTGGGAACGGCATTGGGTTCGCAAGTTCAGTACAAGACCAGATCAGTTTTTCAAGAAGTGCAACGAAGCACAAATCAAATGGACACGTGCCGATTTGCAAGAAAACAAGGAATCATTACAGTAAATCAGTATTCATCACTTCGTTCTGCAATTGGGCAGCTGCAGTCTTAGACTCAAATGCCCTTGATTAAATTGCCAGTGTAGATTTTGCAGCTGTACGGGTGTATGAACCTTGCGCGGGCACAAAGCAAAAAAAGTGCAAAAAATGAAGGACTGAAATGACTTAAAATTCTACCCTGGCTCCAACAATCGCAATCGGCAGCCCCAAGCCCATCGCTATATAGAAGGTTGGAGGCCATCGATAGTAGGTTGGAGGCCATCGCTAAACGGTTGGAGGCCATCGCTAGTAGGTTGGAGGCCATCACTAGTAGTGTGTAATGTTGGTTTATGAATTCATGCCCCTGCCATTTCCTAAGACGACGTCCTTCGATTGCGGCCGAGCAACGTGCCAGTTGAACCAGCTTGTGGTGACTCGATGGGCGTGAACGCCCCCGGTCCTTGATCTTCTTCGTGGAACACCGTGGCCATGTTGTAATAGCGAGCGTCCGCAGTATTGAGAGCCAAATTCCAGTCCACGCCTTTGGGGAAGGTCACGTCGAAATTGACCAAAGCCCGGCGCTGAAAGTTGAAGATCGCAAACACCGATCGAGCACTTGGCGCACTTGGCGCGGACGTTGAAGATGGCCAATTCTCCTTCCAGCGATGAAGGGTCAAAATCTTGTTCGTCTCATCCGCGGTGACATTAACGCCCGTCCCGCTTCCGAGCCCTTGGACGCGCCGCAAGGCGACCAAGTCTTGATGCAGCTTGAAGGTCCCCCGGTGTGACGCCAATTGGCTCCAATCCATGGGCTGATGGGCAGAGAAAAGCTCTTGAAGTGCAAACTCTTGACCCTGAAAGATCAATGGAATTCCAGGGCTCAGCATGACCAAAGCAGTGGCCAAGGCGGAAAGCCTGCTGCCCACCCAACTGTCTCTACGACCTGAAATGGCCAGGGGCAAGCGAAATCGCCCTGCTTCGTCATGACTCTCCGCGTAGATGGTGCGGCGCACGCCACCACCAAGATCTGCCAAGATGGCCTGCTGCAAGTCGCTCATGTTGCGCCATGCATCAGGCTGTCTCAAGTTCTTCAGCAGAGTCCAGTGGAACCTGCCGTCCCATTGGCTGTTGAAACCCAAGCCTTTTGGAAGCTCCTCCGTCAGAGACATGTTACCCTGAAGATCTTCGGCGATCAACATCTTTCCGGTCTTCCGCACGGCGGCCGAGAGTTCCTTGAGAAACAACTCTCCTTCTGGATTGAAGGTGCCGGCGCTTCGGTTGGTTTCGCTTCCACCCCACAGGCGGATGAAACTCACTCCATCCACTCGTAGCCCATCGCAATGCATCGTGTCAAGCCAGAACAGTGCATTGTCGACGAAGAAGCGCCTGACATCCGGCACTCCGTAGTTGGGACGTGTATGCGCCCAGGGCGTCTCCGCCCGGTGATCGTTGTAGAAATAGATTCCGCCGAGGCCTGTACCGTTGGACCATCCATCAAACTGCCAGAGGGGCAGGTCCATGGGGCCCAAATGATTGTAGACGACGTCGAGAAGGACAGCCAGACCCTTCTGGTGGCATGCATTCACGAACCTCTTGAAAGCATCCTGTCCGCCATACGACACCTCCACCGCAAAGGGATACGCCGTAGTATATCCCCAGTCCACGGTGCCATCAAATTCGGCCACTGGCAGAAGCTCCACTGCGTTGATGCCGAGCTCGACTAGATGCTCCAACTTCGGTATGCACATGTCCAGGGTGGCAGTGCCAGTCCAACCTTCATAGGCACAAAAACTTCCCACGTGGAGCTCATAGATCACCAAGGTGTCCCAATGAGGCATGGACCAGTTGGCATCTGTCCACTGAAACTTCTCGTCAAAATAGGTTAAGGAGTTTCCAAGTGTGGTGCCATCCTGCAGTCGAGACCATGGATCCGGACGCCAATAAGACCGCCCATCCTCAGAGACCAGGAAGATCTTGTACGCAGCACCTCTCTCCCGGCCACGGCCACCGCACGTCGAACACAAAGAACATGCGGGAGAACGGTTCAGTGCATCGCTACGAGTCACAAGATGTAACAAGGGTATCGCTATTAGTCAAGACTGACTAGTCACAGGGGCATCGCCAATAGAACGAACGGTTCCCCTATCTTCTCAGAATGACACCGACTTCAGAACCTAACCCTGACCCGCGGACGTGCCTATTTGGAAGAGGTAGTCTCTGGTTGGCTCACTGGAGATGTTGAGCTCCCACCATCCATCTGAGAGATTCACCAAAGAGTCTGGCATCCAACCATTCCATGAACCTACTATAGACACCTGCGTCGCGTGGGGTGCATAGATCTTCACAACAGCACCACCCGATGGTAGAGGCTGAAAGCCCGCACCGTGGCGACCCAAGGAGCACTGCCAACACAGCCTAAGTGAAGCACAGACCCTGAAGCAAGAACATCGAAGAACATAACCCATGCGACGCCCATTCAAAGGGCTCTCCGGGCCCTGTTTGAGTCCGGAAAGCAATGGCTTGAGACGAATTCTACAGAGCAAAGATTCCGAGTAGATTTTTCAGACTAGTAGAACTCCAACGAAAAAAGCCTTCCAACTTAATAGCGATGGCCTCCACCCTAGCAGCGATGGCCTCCTGGATGTTCAGACTCCTGTTTCTGCTCATTCAGCTTATGCGCTGCGGCGCCGCAATGCACGGACATTTCTGCAAGCGAGTGGCAGCACTGTCAGCTGTCGCAATCTCGACATGTGCGCTGACTGAATCTGGCTGAAACACGTTCCTTTGCGCGTTTGAGCCCCTGAACCGCGTAGATGCAGTGCAGATCACAACTAAATACAAGCTAGAACACGTCTTTATTTCTGCTATAGATGACAGGAACACACTACCGGGTCACTACTGTCATGCTAAGCGTTGAGGGCATTCCAAGAACAAGAGAGCAGAGACATTCCCTTTGCAGCATCCATCGCTACAACATGTAAGCACTGTATGAAACACAATGACGATGTGAGAGCTACGATTTTGAAGCACAGGCAAGACACACTCCGAAGAAGGTACCTTCTTTTGCCAGCTCTCAGCGGCAAAGCATTCTTGTCACAACGCGGAAAGGAGAAGAAAATATCTTGAGCTCTCTATAGTGGAGACTTTGCTCAACTAGAAAGCTTCGAAACTTTGTTGGAATCACTCATCTCTGTGATCACAGATTTGGTGCGCTTTAAAAGGCGAGGTTTGGCCTGGCCTGGCATGGTAGCCTTTAGGCCTCGGGCTAACTGGCTTTCACCTGAGCAGCTCTCAAAACCGGCATCTGTCTATGTCGTAAGAATTTGCAAACCGCCACTGCTTACGCTGTGCTTACGCGACCACAATGGCAGCTTACCCCGGAAGTTCTTGGAAGAAAGGGCTTACGCAACACTTACCCCAACAAGTTTTAGCACCAGACCACAGCAGCAGCTTATGCGCCATCTATTTTACAAGGGAAGCGGACACAAAGAAGCAGTGAGACAACTACACTACGCAGCAGAAGATCTCGAGGACGTAGACGAAGTTGATTAGCTGCGAGCGCTGGAACGGCAACCTGCACACGACCTGGTCTCGCTGTGCGCTGATGCGTTGTCTTTCGCGCCATTGCAGTGCAGAAAAGGGCTTTGGAGGCATCGTGGGCTGTCTTCAACGGCGACGCGGAGCTTACGCGGATAACGCGGAACGTGGTATAAACAGCCTGTTTCTTCTTCGACCGTACTTCTGCTTCACAGACATGCATGTTTCAGAAGTTTACTGACCCCGTCTGGTGTAAATGATTTTATGCCATGTTAAAAAAAATAGCTTCAGCTTACGCAGCTTACGCGACTCCTATCTCCCACAAACAGCTTACGCAACCTTACATCAGTGTTTTGCTTACGTGGAACATTTGTCAAGCACACCACGAAACATGAATAGGAAGGTTTATAGAGTGGCTCACCTTTCAGACTGCTGCATGACAAGACACGTTCATCATCTCTTTTCGTTGCGCTGCAGTCACTCGCTCGGGACAGGTTGCTGCGGCCTGACGTGCCCGGCTTGGCCTGACGTACCACTTGGCTTTCATGTTCGCTCCTTCCGAGCCTTTCACTCTTCTCACTCTTCTCACCAGGCTCACCTCTCAACTGCTTGTAAAGCCGAATGTTCTCTTCGCCGAAGACGTAGAGCACGCGCTCCTGTGGCTCGTGTCCCAGAGCTCCCCAGGACATGCTCACGACCTTCAGCATCTTCACGGGCTTCGACTGCATCTGCGTGGCTGCGCTGGCAGCTGCGCTAGCAGTCGAAGAGGTTGCAGCTGTGGACACAGAGGTCTTCGGTTTGATGCCAATTTGGTCACGAAAACGTTGCATTTCCATCTTATCGTCATCACTTTCTTCACGAGCTTCAGGAGATTTGACTGGTTCCTTTGGCGAATCTTCCAAGGCTTCAATCAAGGCCGCTTCTGCTGCTTCTGCATCTGGGATGTCCACATCTTTCTGACCCTCGCCGCCTGCTAGCGCAGGTACGGCTGGTGTGGGTGTGGTGGCTGGGCCAGCCAAGACCAAGAGCTGCCGATGGAAGGCATCTTGTAGAAGTCGATCGTGTCTCTGGCGCAATTCCGCCGTCGCCTGCTTTGGGTTTGGCAAAGTCACTCTGCTCCAGCCTGTCACGCAGGACACTTGCGAATCCTTCTCCTCTCGACCCAGCTTGGTGCAAAGGAGAGCTATCCGATCCCATCGTCCTAAAGCTTCGATCCTCTCGTCACTGAAGCCAAGCTGCTTCAGCCTGAGACAGAGGCCACCATCCTTCTCCAAGCACAATTTCGCGAGTGCCAAGCAGTCACCTAATTGTTTCACCAGAAGGGGCAAAAAGCTGATACCTTCCAGACGTCCATTGCTGGGATCGCCTGGGCCTGCAATGGCCAAGAGGCTACCCTTCTTCTTCCGAAAGCTGGCATATCGGCTGGCCAAGTTCCAAGGTGCCAGCTGAAGCTGTTCTAAAGCCCATCTGGCGCGTAGCACGTCTTGCTCTCCTTTTCTCCTGCGCTCCAGCTCTTCCAAATCCTGAAGTGCCTTCATCAGCTGCGAATCGAAATGATACAAGTGGTCAATTCCAAGCATTCGCAGCCGTTCTTCACCCCTGCGCATGGACTCCAGCAAACACACGGACTCCGGCAGATCATAACGAGCATCCAAACCTCTTGATTCTTTAAACTCCGCTCTGACTAGACTGGCCTGATCTGGAAACCATTTGGAGATGCATGGCAAAATGTTTTGCCGTAAGGCCCTCGTCGTCTGCTCACCCTCATCCACCTCATCATCGCCCAAGTCCCCTTTGAAATCTTTCAACCATCTTCCCTGAGCATGATGTAACATGTGACGGATGCAGCTGGACCTCATCTGTGCACACTCGCGCGACGTGGGAGCTTGCACGAGCCGTATGGGTTCAACTTGCCCAACAACGCAAATCCGGGACAACGGACGCAAGTAGAGTTGCGACACCTGAGCAGTCTGGCCCTTTGGGCCGTTCTTTTCTCTATCGGTTCTTTTCTCATCCTCGCCGTTCCAGATCAACAAGAAACGACGACTGTCGGTGACCTCGTGGCAATGGAGAGGAGCCTGAAGGAGGTTGGATTCCATCACCGAGACGCTGTGACCTGCCTTGAGATGAATCTGTGACGCCAAGAGTGGCACGGGTCCATTGAGTCGAGTGGGATGGCACCTGACATTCCAAGAAACATGTCTTTTTTAACAAAATGATGTTCTTCTTTCCTGTTTCGGTCTTCCATGTGTTTCCTTTGGTTTGGTTCCAATCTTTGGTTCTGTTTCTCCCTTTAAAAGGCTTTATATATAGGCCTTTGTTCCTGCTGTTCGAAATCACACAAACGTGCTTGTCAGTCGGACGGTACCTTAGAGGGCCAAGAAGTTCACCTTCATAACGCTTCTTGCGGGGAACGAAGTAGCTGAAGACCTCGTGGCCCATCCCCATGTTCATCAGCAAAACTGGAGATTCCTCGATGTATTCATACAGAACAAACGGTTGCTCAGCTCTCAGGGACAGTTCACTTGCGCTGGGAGGAGACTTCCCCGACCAGCGTTTTTTTGCTGGAGATGGGAGCTCGTACGACACACCTCATCTGGAGGTAACGCTTCTCTCCCTTCACTCGGACATCTTTTCCCCAAAGGTAGCGGGCGACCTCACTGTGCTGAAGACGTTTGCGCTTCTCACTGGACATCGGCGCTGCACCTGGCACAGCCATCCCTGCCACTTCCGGCAACGTGGCTTGGCCGTATCTCGAGACCTTCGGTGGTGCCGAAGCCCAGCTGGCCGTGAGGCCCTCCAAAGGGCTCGGCTCACTCGGCGGCCGCAGGATCGCCCAGATCCGCCGCGCGCGCTTCGCCGGCGGCTCCGCTTCCTCCTCGCCCCGCGGGGCCGTTGGAAGGGACCGGGAGAAGGGGCGAAGAGGAGTGAATCCGAGACCTTCTAAAAGAATCTCATGGAAGTCCGACATGCTGAACAGCGTCCGGAGCACACCTTGGTGTTTGCGTGCCGGAACTGCAAACAACGTGCGCGAGCGAACGTCATCTGACATCAGAAACCTCGTCCAAAATCGAAAATTGACAAGCATCAATCCGGCTTTTCGTTGGTCTCATTTGCCTTGGGTGCTTGGTCTCCTGAGCATCAACCAGAAGAGAGAGCTGGATGTTCTGCAGTTGTAAGCTTGCGATCAAGAACAGGTGCTCCGCTTGTTGTTGCTGACACCCACTTTGTCGTGTTGCATATACTGCCCATTTCCATGAGATGGACTCTCTCTCTCTCTCTCTCCCAGCAGCACTGACAGTCTCATGGTCTTTGATCATCTCTTCCGCCGCATTTCTTCCAGGTAGCTTTTCTGATTGTCTGCCTGCCCCCTTTGTGAAACCAAAGACTATCTACTAGGAACACGAAGCTACGAACGGAGCCCCTGGCCTTACTACTAGGAGCGATCGGACGCTACGAAAAGGGGCTGCTGGCATCGCGACTCGAACGGAGCATTCTTACTAGGAATAAGAAGCATGTTCTCTTCTGTATGCTTGGCATGTCGCGCATGTCGCTCCTCCCGATTGCGGCCCAAGTGGGTCGGAAGGCGGGTGGGAAGGCTGTCGAGAAGGCTCGGAGGCACCTGGCTCCACATCCCCATCCCAGCAAGAGGCGACACAACTTTGAGGAAGAGAAAGGTGTTGCAAAAAAGGCTTGCTGAGACAATTCTAAATTCAATAGACATCTCAATCTCATAAAGAAAAAAACATCTGAGCACAATCTCTCTCCATTTGCAGACTCGAGGCTTTGAGGCCCTCCCTGAGGCAGCCTTTTGGGACTCGCCTCACCGTTGGCCACATGCAAACGGAAAACAAAAACCCGACGGAAAAGAAAAGGAAACAAAAATTGACTAGCGATGGCCTCCAACCTAATAGGAAACTCCAGAACCAAAACCCTCAAGACACTGCCCTGCCAGGAAATCTACGCTTACAGCAAACAACATCAAACAGCTACCACAGCAGATTCACGCACTCAAGTAAAACAACATGTGCACCGCAATGAGGGCACAACTCTCTTCTGCGCAAACAGCCCCCCAAAAAAGAAAGTGCTGCACCAGCCATGAAGTCAGTGCATGTAAGTCCTAGTGTGTGTGGTGTGTGTCTCTCGATTTGCGTGTGCCGCTATCTGTTTAGGGACCACAATGGCCGCCACGGCCAGCGTAGCCCTTTGGTGAAAGAGAAGCAGGAAAATTCCAGACATGACAAGAAAAGAGCCATTGACAAAAAAAAGCCGCAAAAAATAGTTCGGAAAAAAAGTGCCAAAAACCAAGACACCTCTGGGCGACGGATGATTCGGAGGCCTCACACGATGGTCTTGCAGTGTCGTGGTGTGCGGGGTGAGGCTAAAGTAACAAAGATACTCGGGAACTCAAGGGGAAGTCTGCCAAAACAAACCATTCTTTTGACCCCATGCACCTTGACCAAAAGAGTATGTTCAAAAGGTTTAATTTAAAAAATAAAGAAAAACAAGAGGTCAAGAGTCGACAGTCGACAGACACGTCCTTTGGGTTTTCCTCCTACGTCCCCAAGACCGCGCTGTCGCGACGAAGGGCGTCCGGCGCCGTCCGCGCCTCGAGGACTGCGTAGCACGGGGCTCGGCAGCGGGTGAAGGGCATCGGGCGACGCCGACGCGTCCAGAGGTTGCCACAAGGGCGATGGAACTGCCGGCGAAGCCATGGGCGAAGCCATGGGCGAAGCCGGCGAAGCCCAAGAAGACCTGAAGTCCTCCGCTGGTGTCGGTGGAACCTCGAGCATCGGCGATGGCAAAGGCGTCGGCGGTGCTGGCAGGGAAGCATCCGTGGCGGCGTCCAGGGCTCCCTCTGGGAGCTGGAAGTCATGAAGGTCATCTGGCGGCAGATTGAGTGTCTCTTCCTTGATCTGGGATGCATTTGCTTCGGGAGCATCGTGTTCATGAGGTACACTGCCCAAGCCCAAGCCAATGCTGTCCAGCACACCTTCACCCCAGAGTTAAAACTCATCTTTAAGGCATCTTCAAAGTTAAAACTAATAACGATGGCCTCCAACCCACTTGGCGATGGCCTCCTACTTCCAACCTACTAGCAATGGCCTCCTACCTACTAGCGATGGCCTTCACCCCAGTCTGGGGGTGGACGGCGGCCCTTCATCCATTCGCGGACTTCGAGCACATCGACATCGGCAATGAGGGACCATCAAATTAAATCTCTCTCTCTCTCTCTCCACTATGCGATGCGTCAACTGGTTTCTAGTCGTGTCTAGCGCGTGTTTCACCTGACATTGGATGCGTTTTACCTCTCTCCCGTTGAAGCTCAGAGCCGAAACATCAAGACGAAACGTCCGAGGCTGTTGGAGCGGTTGTTTCGGCGCATGGTTCGGGAGAATGGGAGAGGGAGAGGGGCAAAGCTCTGCTGCTCTGCTGCTCTGCTAAAGCTGGTTCTAAGTGGACTTCTGGACGACTTCCACTTTGCCTGACCCTTTCATGAAACCGACGAAGGCTGCGCTGAAAACCACGTGCTTTGGCCCAAGCATTCCGAATCGCAACCACCAGAACAGTCATCGCAGGCATTGACCAAAGTGGTCTTGGCTGTATGACACCTACATTATTTATCACATCTTATCACACATCACATCAGAAAAATGCTCGTCCTCTTTCTCGTTGCCTTCATGCAAGTTCACCACTTGCACTGTGAAACAAGGAGACAACACCATCCTTTGGAGCACTATTGGGAGTGAGACAGTGACATAAAAAGGCAGAACGCCTCAGCCTCCTGTGATGATTAGCTTTCAATATCATAGCTAGTCATAAATCCTTTGAGGCTCTTCTTACTCCTTTGAGTCGAGAGAGTGTCTTTGGGTCTACGTACATGTTTCGCTATTAGGTTCCTTATGCTATTAGGTTGGAGGCCATCGCAAGTAGGTTGGAGGCCATCGCTATTTCTTGAACTCTCCAGTTGACTTGACCCTTTGCCCAGAGACAGCCATATTGGCACCTTGTTGGCACCCTGGCCATCGCGTTCCGTCTGACTGGCGAGACTAGAAATCCACGTTCCGTCCAAAGATCTCACTGCTGACCTGAGACGATCTCCGTGTGACCAAACGCACGACAGGGCTGAAGCATGCTGAAGCTATCCTGCCATGTCGAACCTCCCGCGATCGCGATGGGCTAGAGCCCCACCTGGTCCAATTTCATCGGATGGCACTTGCCATAGAAATTCTCAAGGTGCTCCACCTCATCCGCTGCCTCGACACGTCTTCGGACCTTCGGACCCGGAACGAAGCGCCTTGTCCTATCGGCCGCCTTCTCCAGCTCAAAGCGCAGCAAGCGCGCGATGTAGTCATGGTCGTAGACCGTCTTGGTCACAGGAAACCTCAGGCATCGCTACGAACGTAGCACAGGGCATCGCTAGTATGGTGGCAAGAACGCTACTAGTAGCTTCTGGCATTACTACTAGTAGCAAGGACGCTACTAGGTTGAAGGCGGAATGAACATAATGAACCTGAAGGGCGTCCCCATCTGAGACGAGCTGCTTCTCCAAGGTCTCTTGGACCACCTCCCCATTGAGCACGTAAACCAAGGTGCATTCCAAGCACTTGACCTAGCGTTCCGAGCATGGCGTTCGCATCGGCGCTTCAAAGCTGGATGGGATCCGACATCCGAAACGAACGCCAAGAGGCTGTGGCACTTCTTCGCTTGTCCGAGCCCAGCACCGCTACATCACCTGCGCTTGGATACTCTTCAACCTGCTAGCAATGGCCTCCAAAGTAGTGATGACCCCAAACCTACTAGCAATGGCACATGTTCATGTTTAAAATGTCCGAACGCTCCCAAATCTTTAGAATCGGATTCTTCAGTCAGACCGTGAAGAACGGACTGGTTCCTATCCTCGCGCCTAGAACAACGCCGCCACCAAGTTCAGCAACCACCTTGCTGCCTTTCCTTGAATCGATCGATGAGCGGGTGAATCGAACATGACCGTCGTTCTTCTAGTAACAAGAAACTACTAGGAACAAGTGCATCGCTTCTAGTAACAAGTGCCTTACTAGTAGTAACAAGAAGCTACTAGTAGCTCCTGGCATCGCTACTAGGAACCCGGGCATCTCTACTACTAACAAGAAGCTACTAGCAGCAAAGGGAATCGCTACTAGGAGCAAGGACGCTACTAGTAGCTTCTGGCATTTTTACTGTAGTAACAAATCTTCTTGGTCCGAGAGGCAAGACTTCCACTTTTCCCGAGTGAAGAATGAACATCTCAAAGCCCATCTCCCCTTCCTCTCGACGTGAAACGTCTCAAACCATTTGCGTATCATCTCATCAAGTGTTCTCTCCTTCATCAGTGCCATTCCTGGATAGTAGAGCCTCACCAAAGGTCGAAGCGCGTGGGATCGGTTCGCGTGGGTCCCCCGCGTCGTCCGCCTTGGCTCCAGAAATTCGCAGATCTTCCTGACACACTCCCGCTCCTGCTTTCGGAAGAACAGCCAGGGAGCTCCGCATGCGCGAAACGCATTCGCGAAACGCAGTCGCAGGTTCGCTCGCGCGTGTTCGTTTTTTTTTCTTTTATTGGTTTCGATTCGTCCGATTCTTTCTTGTCATCTTTTGATCCATCAAGTCTTTGTTTCATAGACATGTCTTTCGTTTTCTTTTTCTTGTTCTTTTCTCTTTCATTCTGGTTCTGTTCTATCTTTCTCATTCATTGTTCTCCATCTTGGCGAAGCAGGGTAGGTCGCAAAACGCCTCAATGTCGCCTGCAAAGGTCAATGCGACATGCGTCTCTCTCGGTTTGAATCTCCAAACGTGCCACAAGCGGCAGTGGCAGCCAGTGGCAGCCAGTGGCTTGAGGACCTGAGACTTCGCCTGTTAGGTTCTGCATCTTCTCCAACTGCTTTAGCAGTGGATGCTCTTCCAGACCTCCTGAATCAGATTGAACTTCCTTCTACGTGGGCTTCCTTTAGGCTTTCATTGGCTTCTAGTAGCGATGGCCTCCAACCCAATAGCGATGGCCTCCAACCCAGTTGCTACACCAATTCCTGAATCCTTTTTCACGGTCTGTATCAGACAAACAGCAATGCAAGCTACGTCCTGTAGCCTCGACCAAATGAGCAAAGGCCGTCCGCGAAAGCAAAAGGAGCGAGGATTGCTCCACACAGCGGCAGCTATGGCTTCGAACTTTGCTCACACCAAGCATGCCTCAAAAGCAGAGGAAGCACCCTATGTTAGAACCCTCGGGTGGAGGCCATTGCTAGTAGGTTGGATCCATTAGACTGCACCGGTGAAGCCGTTTGCCTCTCCTCGGCCGTTGGAGCTACAACCCGCCGTCCCCTGGGCCCAGCGGCCCATGTCTCCAGAAATGCCACCCGGAGCCACGTCGCCTCGTCACGGTGGCGGGAGGCCACCCGCAGGTCCGATGGAAACGTCGTCCACGTGGTTCGTTCGAACGAGCGTCGTGGCGCAGAAAGCGTCGATGCTTCGGCGAAACAAATGGGCGTCTCAGAGGCGTCCGCATCACTCGATTCGAGCCCAATCCGCAGCTTCCGAGCTCGCTGCGGAATGGCCCCACCTTCGCACCCCGGTGAATTTGGCACTTCGCACCGCGCCGTCTCGAGGGCTACGCCTTCTTCCGCCGCTCCGGTCTGGGGCCCCCCGGCCGATGGGAATTTCCGGCAGCGACGGATCGCGGAGGATGGACTTCTCGAGGTGTCCCGACAGAACGATGCACATCCACTCGCCTCATCTCGACGTCGCGCGTGGGACGCGTCGCGCGCGCGACGTCGAGGCGGAGGCCAGGGTGGAGGCCATCACAGGGATTTGGGGGGCCATTGCTAGTAGCTTGGAGGCCATCGATGCCATTGCCTTTTAAGGTTGTAGGCAAAATGAAATAAAGCTTTGACAGTAGCTTTGACGTCTGGAAACGCCTGGGGGTCGCGCCTGGGTCGCCCTGGCGATAAAGAAGTCCACCAGAGTACTCCGCCGGCACCACCGCATCGCAGAGCTGCTGGCGAAAGCTCTCCGGTGCCTCTTGGAACAGGACCACCTTCCTGAGAAACAGGAGCATGGACGCTACGAACGGCGGCTCCTGGCCTTACTACTAGGAACAAGAAGCTATTAGAAACAATAATTACAGTAGTATTGGAATTTATATGATTATAGAGATGGAACAAGAAGCTACTAGGACCTCTTCGCGCGCGCGTGGGGGGTAGAGGACGCTACTAGGAGCAAAGGGCATCGCTTCTAGGGGCTCCTGGCCTTACTAGGAGCAAGGACGCTACTCGTAACAAGTCGTCGAAAGTCATGGCCTCCAACCAAGTTAAGCGTTCGATCGCTACGTTCGGTTCGTAATGCCAGGAGCGCTCCGGGAACGTCGCCTTCTTGCTCCTAATTCGTAGCGATGCCCTGTGTTACTAGTAGAATCCAAGTAGCTGAAAACACTCACGATCTCGCTCATTTGATCGATCTCGCTCACATTTCCAGAGGAAACATCCAAGAACACACACGCGTACACATGCGTCAATCGGTGGTACGAGTACACATGCGTCCTTTGTGCTGCCATCATAGCTGATCATTGAAACGAAACACGAATAGATGGTACTAAAAACCGCCCCTTGCACCACATCTCCTTGTGACTTGGGCAACTTGCACAAAAAGTGCCCTCATTGCTGCAAAGGGTCTTCAGCAGTGCTGCGAAGTCATTCTTTGTCTTGGAGTTCTGCATGGACTTGTCCTAAGTGTGGACTGTGCTGTGCTCTGCGGTGCGGCAGACCAGTTGCACCACCGCGTCGGTGTTCACCCCGACGTCTTGAGGCCAAGGCCCATCTTTGCAGCAACTCCTCGGGGACGAATGCGGTGCGACGTGCGTCATCGGCCCAAAGGGCGGATGCGGACGCAATGCAACGTCCCTCTCCCAAGTGGTCCTTGTCATGCCGTGGCAATCCTTTGAACCGCAATTCAGGCTCCATGTCTTGAGCCCGAAATTCTGAAAAAAGACAGCACACTCCATGTGACACATAGCAATGGCCTACTAAGGATGGCCTCCAACCTACGAAGGCGTGATTCGTGCCCCCACCCCGCTTCACATCTCGCATCTCGCTCTTTGACGCTCTTTATGTCAGCGTGTGGCAGTCAGGTATTTCATGAACCTGAGTTAACCTCCATCTCAGGCCATCTCACGGAAGATGCTGACAGCAGTGCTGACAGCAGAGCTCAGAAGTCTTCCTTTTTGAATCTGCTTCGCTGGGCCAGCTGGGCTGTTGGCTCAGCTGTCAGTACTGCAGGGCTGTCTTCCGTTCATTGAGTGAGAGGAAAATGAACTGCAGGGCCACTGGTCACCCTTCAGTCTCAGGCCGGGTCTCTACAACCAGGGTCACACGCTCTGAATCACCACAACAAAAGAACTAGAGGCACATTGTGCCAGACATGCAGGGCAGGCTCCAAACTGAAAACCTTCCCACGGCGCGCGACGGCGCAGTGAAACAACCGTCTGAATCTTCTAGACCTCTGTGCCCTCCTCAGGCACCTGGTTTTCCACACCAATGGACACACAAAGCGTCGAGTGAAAAACAAGACGTTTCATCTAAGTCCGTCACCTCTTCCTCCTTCTCGGCCTGTTCACCCTTTTCGGCCTGGAAACGTGGTGTTTCGTCGTCACGTGTGAAAAGCTGTATGCTGGCACCGATCCCGGAAGCATGTCCAATGTGAACCTCCGTACCGAGCCATTGGACCGACATTTGTAGGTGCCAACAGACGGGTCGAACAACCGGTGGACCCACCGACGTGTCGGACTCGCAGCTCAAACGGTGGACGACGGTCGGGGATAGCTTTGACGCGGTCTTTTTGGCGCCTCGCCTCCCCTCGAAGGCTCTTCTGACCACGAAGCTTCCGGGCTTCAGCACCTCCGTGTGGATCTTTTAAATGAAAGCTACTATCAAAGGAAAATAGCAAAAGAAACCTAAAGGCGATGGCCTCCAAATCTACCTGCAATGGCCTCCAACCAAATAAAGCAAAACCCCCTTCTACCGTCCTTCTACCGTCCGTTTCTGGATTTGCAAATAGATCGTAAGAATGCTCCCTTCGTAGCCAGGCCCGAACGTAGCGTCCTCTTGTTACTTATAGCACCTAAAATGGTCATCGTCCGAGAGTTCTTCGGTCAGAATATCTTGGCCCAGTTGCTCGTGTATGCAGGGCATCCGTGGCTCTTGCAAACACTGCAACACCCAGGATCACAGCAGCCACAATGGCAAGAAGGCGTCCAAGCCTGTCTTCAGTCAGAACGGCTACACTTGTCGCACTTCTCGCATTCCCTAGTGGTAGATGTTGTCTCTTTTGCGCAATGTGTGTTTCGGCTTTTCTCTTCAAACCTAACCGGCATGCCTTTCAAAACCGGCCCTTTCGTCCTTGCTTTTTTCCTTGTCTCTGTGCCCTGCTCCATCCTGTTCCCAAGGGCACAAGCTGTTAGCCGACGCGTTTTTCGCCTTGTTTGCACATCAGCTTCGAGCAATTGGCAGCTCCGTGAAGGAGAGGATCAGCAACAATACGCCGCTACACAAGCGCATGGCCCACCACCCAGAATAGCAGAAACGATCAATCCACGATCAATAAAGACTTTAACACAGCAATTGCCGAAATGACGGAAATATCTACAGTAATAGTTCAAATCAAAGACTATCTATCATACTCTGCTATGCAGAGCCATTGGGCTGGAGGCTGCAAGCAAATGATGGTGTCAGTGTCAAGAATGGCTGGTTTTCACCTCACACTGATCAAAACAGCAAGCGTTACGTCGACCGTTACGTAACGTGTCAGTCGTCTTTTTGACCGTGTCGAATGCGTTCGGATTTCGTCAGTGCTTTCAGAACGCTGATGGCGACACTCACTGGACCGCCACACGTCAGCTGGCCTCGGAGGTTGGAAACGCCCGAAAGAAACTAGAGTCTAAGATGAACGCCCCAAAAAGTCTAAAGAAAGAAGTGAAGGGCTATAGGAAGGTAAAGGAAGCGGAAGTTAGATCAAAAAAGATGAAGAGGTCAATGAGTCGAGGCAACCTATAGGGTGCCAATGCAGGACCAACAGGAAGGGTACTTCAGGTTTCCTGTGTGACTTTTAGTGAAATAAGCTACTAGGAACAAGTGCATCGCTACTAGGAGCAAGGGCCTTACTAGTAGTAACAAGAAGCTACTAAACATCACATCTCGGAGGTCAAAACTTTATTCTAATTAAATTCCATTTACACTGAATTACTTCTAATAGCAAACATTGTTACTACTAGTAAGGCACTTGTTACTAGAAGCGATGCACTTGTTCCGAACGTAGAATTTTTGCTGATGCACTTCGGAACCACTTGTGACTCAGATGACGATCTCATCTGGCGGATGTGATGCACCGCCTCGCTGATGGCCTCGAGCAGGTGACCGTCCAGCCGCTGCGAGAGACCGGACCGGCCGCAAGAACCAGCGCGGGACCGGCTAAGAGGCTAAATGTCCTCGATTCATCTCCCTCAATTCATCTGCCATCACTGCCATCCTCATCCTGCATGTCTGGAAACCCGACACCTGCCCCTCAGACCGCGTGAACTCGCTGCGGCATTGAACCAACCGAAGGCCCACGTTCCAGCGACATCCGTGTCACTGCGTCACCAAAGGCGAGTGGTCTCGGACAATTATTGAGCCTGAGTGATGAAGAGGTAGCTAAGATAATTCCAACTTCTCACTCCTTTAGCAGCTCAGCAGCTGAAAAATCGCTACTAGGGTGGAGGCCCCTACTAGGGTGCAGCCCGGGGCAGCGTTTGAGCCTTCTCTCTCCGCTTCTGCTCCGGAGTCCTGGGGGCGCGGCGGGTTCCGGCGCAGCCGCCGGCGCAGGCGCATCACCTTCAGCAGCTTTGGCCTCACCAAAAGCGGAGCTTTAACGGACGGACGTCCAGTCCCAGCCTCAAAAACAGGCTTGCGTCCAGCGGCAAGCGTTCTCGAAATGTGGCGATCGAATTCGAAACACATGAAAACACCTACGTTCAACAAACCCTGGTGAGACATGTTCTCGCTGGGCTGGGCATGGACTTCCCGACGATCTGAAGAATTGAAGCGATGCGTCTTGGCTTCGAGGGTGAAGTGCAGTAGCCGACGTGTTCGGTGGGCACCGACGGTGTACTGCAGTGCCAGACGTGCACCACAGAGTCCAGGCCCTTAAGAATGCATTTTATCTCAGATGCAATTCTTACACAAGAACTTTGTGCCAGTGGTGGGAGCTGCTTTTGTCGCAGCAGTTAGCGTATTCTTGAAGAGTTCTGCATGTTTCAGCAGCCTTTACAAAAACCAGGTCGGCCTCGTCCGCCTCTGCCCTCGCGAGAGGTAGCATGTAAATATACCACCTGCAAAGCAAAGTTGCCAAGGCTAAGCCCCCGAAATCCATGTTGAGCGCACCCGGGCAGGATGATGCCAAGGATCAGGACAATCATGATCCTCGCATTCGGCACTCTGCGCAACGCGTGGCCATCGGTGGGCGATCGGTTGGGCGTTCGGTGCATCACTGCAGGCAGCGACACACAGCATCTTCCGAGGACTTGGCGTGGCCACTAACTTCTGCATCGTGTCGCCTGATGGCTGGTGTTGGCCGCACGATAGTCGCACATCTCTATCTGTCTCAGATTCTCAGCTTAAGATTGGAATAGTATCATAATCATGATCGTTCATTATCTTCATTGTAAGGCTTGGTTAGACTTTAGACCCTTGTTTTTGTTCCTTCTCCCAAGAGCCCCTTGCTCAGCCTTGGCTGCCTCTTACTAAAGAAGTAGGCTCACCTTATCTCATCTTCTTCTTCTTCCTCTTATTTCTTGTCCTTTGTTTTTCTTGTTTGCCTCTTCTTTTTTATTTCTCAAATTATATGTGTTTGCTTCTTTTTGATTCTTCCTCTCGTTTCTTTTTCGTCAAGTTTGTTGTTCTGTTTCTTTCTCGCCGCCTCGCCTTCCACGGTCTCGGATGCTCCTTGCACTGCCATGTACACCTTGGCCACATGGCGCCCCACGGCGCCCCCAGCAAACACATCGTCGCTCGCTCGCTCGGCACTCGCTCCGCCTGTTCGTTTCCAAGGCACCGCGGTCTCCCAGGAAAAGGCCAAGATCAAAGAAGCGACGCCGATGAAGAGTCCCGATGACAAGCAGCCTCGGCTTCTTGATGGGTAGACGTTCGGCGCTATTGCTCTGGGAGCTGCGGTACAACAGCAATGGTCAACGGCGGATTCGGAAACTAGAATGGGTCTGAATCGGATAGTTTCTGAATCGGGTCTGTGAAATACAAATATGTCCACGCTACATCAACACAAACAGTTCATTAGATCCCCACCCCCGCCCTCCCCCCAGTTTCTGAATCGGGTAAGTCTCTGAATCGGGACACTCTGTAGTTTCTGAATCGTCTTCTGTTCCTCCAACCTAGTCGTGAGGGCCTCCAACCTACTTGCGATGGCCTGCCACCACTAGCTGATGGCCATGGTGGCCCATCTTCCCCAAGAAAAAACCCTGGGAAAAGCCATCGCAGCTTAGGCACTCGAGCGGCCCATCAAATGTGCACTGACCATCGGGAAGAAGATCAGCACCTCGGATTTCGGCCTTCCAATCGACGGAAGCGTGCCAGAATCAAGACGAATATGACGTCAGAGCGTTGGGTTGCTTTTCATCTTTTTTAGGGCCTAAGAGTGTTGTTTTCTGCGTGTTTTGTTGCAGTCCACATGTTCGTGCTTGTCTTTTTGCATAAGTCCATTCTTTATGCCATCTGTTCTTTCCTGTCATTCTTCCGATGTCCGGTTCCTCTCAGCGTTCCATCAAGGCACGGTCCCTACTAACGCGAGGCCATTGGCAGCGATGAGCTTAGAAGTGTGGTGTGCTCCAGCATCATCTGCCGTCATGTTCCACAGCAGCCACCTTGGGCGCTGCGCAAAACCACTACCGCACCAAGTACGGTTGAGCGATCGTGCGGTGGAAAGCGCGTTCGGCATGTGAGTCACGTGTTGCAGCCATGGGACTGGCAGAGGAAGAAGACCTCAAAAAACGACAGGTCTTACAAAAGAAGAAAGCTCTAATATAGTTTGCCACTAGGTGGAGGCCATGGCTAGTAGGTTGGAGGCCATCGCTAGTAGGTTGGAGGACATCGCTAGTAGAAAAGGAAGAACGGTCTAGTATAGATTGCTATTGAGTGGAGGCCATCGCTAGAAGGTGGAAGGCCATCGCTAGTAGGTTGGAGGCCATCGCTAGTAGGTTGGAGGCCATCTCTAGTAAGTTGGAGGCCATTGCTAGTAGGTTGGAGGCCATCTCTAGTAAGTTGGAGGCCATTGCTAGTAGGTTGGAGGCCATCGCTAGCAGGTTGGAGGCCATCGCTAGTAGAAAAGGAAGAACGGTCTAGTATGGATTGCTATTAGGGGCATCGCTAGTAGGTTGGAGGCCATCGCTAGAAGGTTGGAGGCCATCGCTAGTAGATAAAGGAAGAAAGGTCCTAGTAGCTTCTAGTTTAAATTCCAATTAAATTCTAGTTCTAATTCTATTTATTTCTTGTTCCTAATAGCTTCTTATTACTAATAAAAATGCCAGGAGCCCCGTTCGTAGCGTCCGATCGCTCCCATTCATGTTGCTTCTCGCAGAGATTCTCTCGTTTCTTCTCGTGACACCGTCGCGCTGGCCGAATCTGGGTTCACGACCAGCCAGCCAAAGGTCATCCAAAGGACCCTTATCGAGGTCCTCACCGTGGCAAAGCACAGAGGACAACAAGCAAATCAAAGGAAGCGATGAAAAAGCTTCAAGAGGCAAGCGAGAACTGACAGCTGGAGGTTTCTAGACGGACATGACAAGATCTGATGACTGACATGCGACGGAATTGAGTTCAGAGTTCAACATGCGATGCCTCATCAGCTTCTGAATGAAAAGGCTGCTGAAGCTCTCCCTCAACGGGTGGCAGCAATGTGGTGCTTGAGATCATGAACTGCAAACAACAAAATACAGAAAACGAGCCCTCCAAATCGTTGGCTCCGGGCACAGGCACATAAAGAGCCTCGCATCTCGTCGCGTCTCGTCGTGTCGCGCCGCGTGTCGTCTCGTCACGTCGCGTCTGATGTCGCCCTGGGCGCTGAGCTGCAGCAGCGAGGACCACCACGACGATCACGAAGCAAAAGAGCCAATTCCTCGTGTCGTTTGGTCGTTCCAAACCTCCAAGAGCTGGATTCCTTCACCGCATTCCTCCCCCCCTTCGTCTCATTTTTAGGAGCATGGCACATCATCTCCAGTGATCTTGCGGCTATATCTGGCACCTGGAACTGCCTCAATTCGGTCAAACGTGACTTGATCTCATGAAAATGTTCAACCTACTCCAGTCATGTCTGAGCACCAAACACCAGTGACGCAAAAGCGTGCCCACATCGAGAACAAAAAGCTCACCTGAAAAAGCATTCATGAGCGTATTCAAGCTCTTCCGAGTCCAAGGACACCTTCACCTTTTCTCCAAGGAAACATGTTGGTCAACTGGACCATGAAGCCATGTTCCTGTGCATAAAGCTTGTGCAAAGTAGTATTTGCGCCTGAGAGAAGCTAAGCTTCTGAAACATATCGAACGGATAACAACGACGGCGATGCCGGCGATGTTCGAAATCTCCGGACTGGAGCCGCTCACGCACCAAGCGTCGTCGCCCCGCCACGTTTGAGAGAAACCTCAGCATCCAACGATGAACGCCGTAGATTCAAGCTCCATGTCTTCCACCAATGTTGTCCACCTTGGCCACAAGGTGTTGAGAACACGTCTCAGCGTTCAGCCAAGTAGCAGCAGTAGCGGTAGTTCTAGCAGCACGCTCTTACTCGCACTAGTAGTCGCAAGGGTGAACGATGTTCAGCATAGCAGTAAGGCCAGGAGCCCCTAGTAGTCCCCGAACGTAGCGTCCTATCGCTCCTAGTAGCGATGCCAGGGGCCCCGTTCGTAGCGTCCTCTTGATCCTAGTAGCAAGGCCAGCTCCAATTCTAATTCTAATTTAATTCTAATTTAATTTAAGTCTAATTTAATTCAATTATGAGTTAACTTAAGTTCAATTTAACTTAATTCTAATTTAATTTAATTCTAATTTAGTTTACTTTAATGTAATTCTAATTTAATTTAACTAAATTCGAATTTGATTTAATGCTAGCTTAATTTAATTCTATTGAATTTAATTCTAATTTAATCTAATTCAATCCTAATTTAACTTAAATAGAATTGAATTTAATGTGATGTAAATTATTTCTAATTTAATGTCATTCTAGTTTAGTTTAATTCTAATTTTGCGAACGGATGAAAAGGTGTGCCCTGGCCCCGTTCTAGCCCTTAGTTCAACATGAAGCTCGCGCGCTAAAGCTCCTTTTTACCTGGTTGGGCACTTGAGCCAAAATGGTATGGCATGTACCTATATAGCAACTATACTGGGACCTCATCCCTATTGACACCCCCCACATCCGTACTTCGACGGGGAAGGGAGATGGGTGGATGTAAAAACCGGAGAACGAATCATGTTCTCAAAAGTGTATTGGAGGTCAACCAGTATGTCCTATTGAATTGAATTGGCAAAAGATCTTGCATTTGCCTGAAAGTCGGATCAAACAGGTAATGGAGCTACAAGCGGAAAACGTGCACCTACCTATGGTATCATACGATTACCAGCGGTGTGAAACACAATCCTATCTCACTCCCATGATGCCAAAATGGTCATCATGAATTACCCAAGATCCCTCAGTACATGAAGTACCAGAAGTGGCATGTCGGTATGACCCCAATGCTCAACCATTCGTGAGTTGTCGCATGTAGTCAGCGCCGACAAAGCCAATGTAGTCCTTGATGAGCTCAACGTTCCTCGGATTTCCCGCTCGGATCTGCTCCTCGAAGAACTTCAACTTCTGTGCTTGGATATCGGATACCTCTATGCCATAGTAGCGGCATGCAACGAGGATCTCCTTCGTGACATTCTTCCGCTCCGACTTGATGGCGGGGCTAATGTCGATGAATTTGTATGGAGCGGCACTTTCGTCATCTGGTTTCTGGTAGTAGCTATATCGGCTCGCTCCGAAGGTTTTCCTGATCAAGCGTCTGATGAAATTTGAGATGAATGCCAGTTTCTCGATGATCTCTTCCTGGGTCTCAGACCTTCGAGCCTTTGGATCACTCATGTTACGCCGAGTGCTGCCGACCTCCTTGAGGTACTTGTGGCTGAGCCCGCAGCGGATTGCAGTGATCATCATCGGGTGAACAACGTGGGCGTGGAACTCATAAATCTGCCACGCTTCTGTTGCAAACGTGTCGTTGGTCCATTTGCTCATGCCTACGACCTCGGCTCTCTGGAGACGTCTTGGAAACCCAGTATCCGGATCATTCGGTACTATTGGCCATCTATTGTACGGAGTATCACGCCGCTGTCCATCGTCGAACTTTCGCAGTACGTCTTCACGACTCTCAAAGCAGTTGATGTCGAACGTCGCGTTGGCCAAGCTCTTGATCAACTTCATCAACCTCAGATCGAACTGCTGTGTGACTGCAAAGTTGTGGTCGATGGGGATCGCAGCTTCTTGTGGCAATTCGTCAATCGCGAAGGGGAAAGGCTGCGGAAGTTCATTCCCGTATCCATCTTGAGGGACCTCCCGATATTCGGGTTCGCCTTCAGCTTCATCCGGTCGTTCCTTCAAAATGATAGGAGCTTCCTCCTCTTCCTCTCCTTCGGATTCCTCGACCTCAATGACCTCTTCGGCTGTCTTACGTGCATTCTTGATGACTTCGTCGATGTTTGCACCTGCAGCAGAAGTTGCTTCACCAGAAGAACTGGCTGGGACATCCTTCGGAGGTGATCGTTGATTACGGTCTCTTGTCTCCTTGGGTACCACATGCGTGAGTTTCCCATTCGCGATCAAAACCGCTACGCAGTGCGGACATACCGTCAACCGCACATCGACTTCGCCAAGACAGTTAGGACACGGCCTTGAGTCATAGTCTTTCATTGCCCGGCGGTACACGATCTCCTCAAAGATTTCCTGCCACTCGGTGCTATCATATTCTGGGTGTACGCCACTCTCCTCGATCATACCCAATAGTTTTGAGATTTTGGCGTCGTCCTCGGAGTAGGTATCGTCCTGAACTTCAACCGCTAAACTCTCAAGCTTCTGATAGCGTGGGATCATGATCGGGTTTCCGTATTTGGACTCCAGAACAAGGTAGCTTCCAGGGTCGGGTTCCCTATTGAGTAACCTGATCCATTCGATCTCCTCAGGCTGTCCGGGTTCCGCATTGTCGCATTGCAACCATGCCCCTTTAACCTCATCGAAGGGAACGACGTTCTCGACCAATAGAGAGCCAGTCGCTGAGATGAGAAGTCCGTACTCCTGCAGCTTCCACACCGGAATGTAGAGAACCACTGGGCGATCACTCAGTGCGACCTTACGACCCAGCCAAGGTTTTCCCTTGTAGCCCTGCTCCCAGGCCCATGGCGGAAAACATGTGAAGTGGATAGAATCCCTTCCCGATGAACCGAGACCTCCTGGCACTAGCCCCCGTCGCATGATTGAAGTCAGCGCTCCAAGGTTGGTAGCGTGAAATGCAGTCACCATAGATAGGGCCATGTCGTTGGTCATTCTCGATCCAATGTGGTCGATGTTGATGGTGACGTCATAACCTCCGCCGTCCGATGAGTGTGCTGAGGTTGCTCTTACGGCCACGGGAAAGCACCATCCATTGCTGTTGTGGAGTCTTCCTTTGGAGATTCCCATGCCCTTGAGTTCGTCAATCCATTCCTTCTCCATCGGGTCATCAGGGTCATTGAGTTCATCAGGACGAACGCGGACCGCCAACATTTGGAATCTGATCCTCTTGGTTATGCGGAAACACTCATAGTTCTGGTCGAAGAACTTCTCCAAACGCGCCTTCTTGGTCACGGTATCTACGTTGCCGTAGTGATAACCGTCTTCCCAAACTGCATTATCACCCAACAGATCTTCCCACGACACCCATGCGCCTTCATCGCATTTGATTGGTGTGAGTCTCCCACCTGTCCTGAACTGGCGTCCAATTCGATGTCTCAACTTCGCTCCCAATCGACGACTCAGGGCTTGGCTCGCTTGGCTGTATTCAGGTACTCGACAGTATGGAGTCGGATACTTGTGGTTGCCATAGTCGGAGTTCGTTGCAGCGAAAGTGACTCCGTTGATCGGTACTAGTTCGACTTTCCCGACCATCGTCATGGGGTCGATCGGCTTGTATCCCTTCTCCCTCCGTGTCGGTAGGGGATAGAAGTGATGACACGCCTTTGGTGTGAGGGAGCTGGAGTGCACGAATGCCTTCTCTACGAACTCGTACACCACCCTCATATCCCTAGGGCCCACTTCCGCAAGCTTCCGCCCATTGTAGGAATGTGTCCCTCCTTCGACTCCATCGGCACTTTCGATCAAGGTGAATCCGTCATGGTCAAACATTGTCACGACTCTTGCTTTCAACATCTCTTTTCGCCTGAACTCGCTGTCGACCTTCCTATCTGGAGTAGGCGATGCTCTCTGCTTCTTCTTCTTAGGCTCCTCGGTTGGATGTCCAGATGGTACATCGTCGGGCGCAACCTCTCCCTTCACTCTCTTCTTCCAATCACTCAACACTGAGGTGACTGTAGGTGAGGATGAAGGGGTCTTCTCGCAATTGAGAGTTGTGTGTCCCGACTTCATGCAGTGGATGCAGAATTCTGCTTGCCCGATCTTCTCCTCAAATTCGTCGATGGCTTGCAGTATTGATGTCTTCGGGTCGGACATGTCAACGTCTTGCTCCTCCTTCTCCTGTTCAAATTCAGTCTCCATATCGACACCTTCGGCCTCGGGCTGGTCAGTAGCCTCTGTTCCTTGTTCTGGTTCTTTCCCGATTTCGAAGAAGTGGTCGATGTCGAATTCAGGAGGCGGCATGGTCCTCATGCGAACGAGAATCAGTGCCACGTTTGCCGCCTCTTCAGAGTGCGGATCCAAGGTCCTGATCGTCGATCGCTTTCGGTTCTCATACGTTGTCCTGTCGTACAGCGATGCAGTGACGCGCTTGATGGATTCTTCTAATCCCGTCCTCAAAGCTTCAATGTCACCCCGTCCCTTGAACAGGTGCCTGAAGAGTTGGGCAACTTCGAGCATGCCCAGCAGCGCTTCCACCATGTCACCTACCCGTTCCTCCGTGGGATCATCTCCGAATATAGTGCGGAATACATCGGGCTCCAGTATGGTCTTGAGGTACTTGGTGTAGCACACGTTGCCAAGGTCATAAGATCCCTGGTAGTACATGGCTCTGCCGACTATCTGCTTTTCCACATGGATGCTGGGTCCTCTCCTCGTTTTGAAGAAGTTCTCCGTCATTGTTGATGACAACCTGATCCCCCCGAAGAACGAGATCTCCTTCTGGAAACCTGGATTCCCGTTGAAGATGATCATCGCCTCATGCAAGAACTTCATCAAGTCTTCGTGCGGGTTCATCTCGGAGATCATGACGGTGGGGGAAGATACCGTTTGTCCCATGCCGAAGTTGTAAAGCATTCGAGCACATGCATGGAATCGCTTCTGGACGTAGTCTTCTGCGGACATCCCACGGCACCTATTTGCTGCTCCGTTGATGCATTCTGCATAGCAATCATCTTTCTGATCGGAGTCTATGGGATTGCAGACCAAACAGTAATCGCAGCAAATCTCCTCCTCACCCTCCTTAAAGTCATCAATGACGTACCACCTTTGAGTCCTCGTGTATATT